TGAATTGAAATCTGCATAAAATTCAGGACCAACCCCTTCTGTTATCAGGCCCTTTTTCTCCCGCGTTTTCAACTTTTTCTCAAATTTACTTATTATGGAATTGTTTTTCATTCAGTGTACTTTAATATGGTTTTTATGGATTCTAAAACGGACTTTTAATTCGTTCATAAACCCCATTTGAACATGAAATTATCGTTGCTGAAAAATGTAGAAAAATCAGTTCGCGTCTCTCTGTTCATATGCTTGTTTCTCTCAGGTGTTGAGCTCTTTTTCAGATTTTCTTTTTGCTCACTCTTCTATGTTTACTAAAGTTTGATGTGGTTTCACCGCAACATTAAATGCACTTATAATCTAAAATTACTCTTCTATGTTTCCTTTTTATGTTTTCTCACATTTTTTACAATTGATTGTGACTGAAATTACTCTCATCACTTATAATTTCTAAATTTCCCCTGCTGTATATAGTGGATGATAATTATTTGACTTACTTTCCACATAAACACTTGTAGGGTCAACGCTAACAACGAATACATAGAGGCGGTTGTCTCCCAAAAGTTATACGAAAAAGTGCATGAGACAATAACGGCACCAAGCGACTCCCATGTTCGAAAAATCGGCCAAGTGATCAGTTCCAGTAATCTGGTATTTCGCAATGTGCACTTGTCTTGTCACTTTGTTTTAATTTTCGATTATTCTCATTTTATATTTTCCTCACTTACACGTATCACTACATGCAGCCAAGATCATTTTTGGTGAAAGCGAAGCCAAAAATTGTCAACAAAGATCAACGCATGTACATCCTTACTTGTCCAAATTGCTTCAGCCAAATTGCTTCAGAACATGTGGGGCTTCTTATCAGAAAAAATTCCCTTGCTTATATTGTAAAACAGAGCAACCATGTCCAAAACCTGCGTAAGTAACTTCCATCAACAAACCCTCTTACCAAACCAAAATTTACATATATTATCCAACTAATCACTGCCATTTATAGGCTACAATTTCAAATACAACTCTTCGATAGAACCGGTAGTCTCAACGCTCTCATAGAAGGAAATGAAGTCGAGAAACTCCTCACTATGTCAGCTGACCAATTGGCCAAATACAACTACTAGGTACTCTCTCTTTTCAAATTTAATAAACATCATCATTCAACAGACATTATATACAAACTCTCTCTTTTCAAATTTAATAAACATCATCATTCAACAGACATTATATACAAATATAACAAAGTAAAACAACTATCTAACTTTCTTTTTCACCTACGCATAACAAACGTCTAGACATTGACAAAATCAACAACAACCTTGAAGATTCAGACCGAATGTTCCACTTGCGATCAACCACCAGGACTCCACAAGAAACACCATCAAGGTACACCGTCACCACGTATCTTCCCTCATCTACATCATCCTCAACAGCGGTAGAATCCAGTGACAAAGAAACTTCTTCAAACTCCCCGAAAACACCAACCACAAATGTTGAAATGACTGAGGAAGAAACCAGTGCATCCAACCAGCTAGAAATGCAAACTCTACCTGCAAAAAGAAATCTTCCATCAGCAGCAAAACAAACGCACAAATCCACAAAACATGCAAAGCAAGATTAAAAGGTAATGACATCTATCCTTTAGTATATAACAGGAACACACTCTAACTACTTATCCTAGAAAACAACAATAGAGCAACACCAAGTCTCTATTTTTTGGCAAGCATAGGCTACCATAGAGATAGCAAGAGCCCATGTTTGCGTAAATATATATTTTGTGTAAATAGCTAATGGTGTTCCTGTTTGAAATATGTTAGATTTTGTGTTAGATTTTATGTAAATATGTTAGATTTTATACAAAATATGTTAGATTTTGTGTTTGGTTATGTGCTAGAAGTATGACTGTATTACGACGGTTGATAATTGGTTGTTAAGTGGCATGTTTAACTCCTTTGAAAGTAATTCAGGATTGTTATATTTCTGAAAGAAATCATCTAAGTACTTTTGCTCTTGAACCCGGTGATGTACATGAATCTAATTCCAGTTATAACTCTGATGCTATTTTGGCTGGAAATAAGAAGTTCACTTCCACTCAAATATATGACTTTGCTGTTGTTAAGTATTTGTTTCTCGTAACCGTTTTCAAGGGTAGTACTACACTTGTAGCCAATTTTATGACTGCAGGGGACATTGTTCACTTGAGTTCTGTGTTTGAATTGATTGAAATTAAGCTATCACCAAATGGTAAGCTGGTTGTGTTATGGTTAAGACTGAGATTAATAGTAATCATCTTTCTTGTTGGTTTTCTTGTTGTATTTAATGGTGTTAAATGCAACCCAAACACGAAGTTTATCATTAACAAAGGACTTTGCATAATGTTGTTTTTTGTTAATCCTCGGGGTATGAATACACATTTAGTTCCTAGAACACCTGCTTATGTCCGAAATGAAATATTGAGAAGAGTTGATTTTCAAGGACTGTCTGAGAATAAAAAAGCTGTCGCATAGCTTGATAAAGTGGGAAATATCGTGGTTCTTTATATTCCAACATTGTGGTATAAGTTTATGAAACCTAAACTGATTGGAAATGGTTCATTCTGTGTTATTTATGTCAAACAAAAATACTATTCATTTCCTGCAAGATTCGGTTGAAAAATTCCATAGCTTCAGTTTGAAATTGTGTTAAATTCGCATGATCTGTTAGAGCTTGTCAGTGGAACTGAGAGTATGTTACTTGAAACATTCGGAATTTTTTATTGATGATGAACTGACGAATTGTATTGATGATGCCAACGTCTCTTTCGAGTCTTTTGTTCACAATCCTAAAAAATTGAATGGTGTTGATGATTTTTGAGTTTTTTATGAACTGTAGTATGCTGATGATGATAATGAGCATCTTGATCTGTCTCTTGCTGCAAAAAATGATGTTGGTGTTAGTTATGTGCCTGATATGATATCTTGACCGCTGCAATTTACTCTTATGGATCTGATTGAAAAACAGAAGTAATTTACTCTTGCTGCGAAGAGAGCAGCTATGTGGATCTGGAGGTTTGTGAATTTTCCATTTTTGAAATCATCAGATCTACAATGTGTGTCCATGTGTTTGTGTGGTTTTCTCTCTGGTGACTGACACAAGAACCCAAGGGATTTAAAATTGGAATTTTTGGGGAAACAAATTGAAGGTTTAAAGTAAATGATCGAATGAATTTATTGTATATCTGGTATTGGTATTGGCTTTGGTTCCAGTTTCGGTGGAAAAAGAATGAGAGAAAGCCTCACTTTTTCTATTAATTGATTCCTATTTTTGAATTGTATGCTTAATTTTGTTTCTTGTCAATTGGTAAATGTAAACGAATAAAAGGAAATTTAGCACATGGGGCTCCTATTGATACATTTTATTTTCTGCAATTTAACACCAGAATGAAGATTCTGTTCTGCTGCATGTAAACAATTACATATCTTTTTGGCATTTTCCCATTCCTTTTCTCATTGTTGGTGAAACGTTTTTAAATTCATTGTTCCCTCTGTCTTTGTCTTAATTCTTTGTTTAAGTCTTTGAAATTTTGAATTGCATCAAATGTTAAATAAAGCCTAATTAGAGTCAATTCGGTTACACGCAAGGTGTTTAATTATATGCTTAGTTTTGTATCTGGCTAAAGAATTTGGGAACAAATGAAACCTTAAATGCATGATTATTGTATTGAAGGTACTCGCTTTATGTTACAAAGAATGCTCTGTTTATTGTACATGCAATGCTATATTTGAATTTGTAATTTTTCGTACAAAGGATAAAATGTTTGGCACACATGTTTTGAACTAACCATAAATTTCTTTGACAACACCGAATGATTTATTATCCCTCTGACAACATGATAAACCAGCACATCAGTATGCAAGTTTTTATATTATTTATTTGCTTCAAACCACTTTCCATCTCATCACCAAAATTCACTGCTGTTAGAAAGAAGCACAATCCTTGAAGCTGAATTAAACACTCATTTATATCCTATGTAATTCTATATATATAAAAAATATCCCTTGTTTCTCTTTTCTTGAAAAATTTCTGTACGAGACATTGTAAAATACATTTTTTTTCACTTTTTGTAATTTAATTCCTACATAAAATACTATCATCAATATATGTAATATATAATTTTGCAGTTTTCACGCTTTTTACAATTATAATTTCCGTACAAATATCATAAATATATAATACAATTAATTTACAAACACTTTAACATACAAACTTCTTCAACGTCTTGGCTCCACAGTGTCACGGACAGTTTTTCTTCACCACGAATTCGGGTGGTTTGATGCGAAACGGGCTATTTTCGTAGACGGACAAGGGACAGAACGGTCTAGAGCCTTGTGGAATTCTCCGGTCAAATCTTGAAGACTCTGGAATTTTTAGAGAGGCCGGAACTCTCTAGAAGCAGGTGGAACAGTGTGGAAGTTACCCGAGTTTGCTAGAACCGTGTGGAAGATTCTAGAGACTTGTAGATATTTTAAACTTAGAATATTTTATTGTAGGAATTTTCTAGAATTCCATTATTTTATTATGTACATAGAATTCTCAGAATTGTTTAGGACTTGGGGTTTGCCTATAAATACCCCATGCCCCCTTCATTTGTAATCCATCCAGTTTTGAGTAGAGTTCTCAAGCGTTCCTAAATTTCTCTTGTCGCTTAATCGTTCTTTCACTTTCAACTTTTCTTAAGTTTTTAACTCTCTGTTCTTTAAAGCCTTGCCTGCTTTTTGACGCTTTGGGGTCTTAAGGTGAAATTGTGACTGATCGTTAGTTGTTTTGTCTTTAGTCTTGCACTACTTCTTTGAAAAAGTAAGCCCGTGACAACAGCACTCCAGCCGCACCTTGTGCGGCTCCCTCCGCTAGTAACTCTTCTTATGTGTCAATCTTAAATGGCCATCCACATCATCACCTCATAAATTTCTAATATATTAAAAAATTGAAACCAGAATTTAAAATTAAATTTCTTTTTCCTTTTTATTCATCGTCAAATTCATCCTTAAACCAGGATTTGTTTTTTTTTCGTCGTCAAATTCATCCCGAGAATTCATCGTTGCCGGTCAACTTCAATATTAGAGTTTCTTGGTGATGCTCTTTGGCCGGTAAATTAACAACAATCAGCACAAAAGATTAATCTACAAGAACTACAATATTCCTCAAAAGAAACCATGACATGGATACAAAACAGTAAACACAAGTGCACAATTAATCGATGGAGATTTGTGAATACGGGTGAGCACCAAGCAGCATCGTATAGTTGTTGGCGACCACAACATGGGCAAAGGGTCAGCCTTTTCGATTGAGGATTTGGAATGAAAAAGCATAATTTTTTCCAGACCAGCATAGGTTAGAAAAAGGAGGAAATTCAATTCTCCGGCGAAGAGCTGACCGTGGCAATTCTGACGACAGAGGAAAATAAAAACCCTGGTTTGACGATGAATAAAAAAATTTGCGTGTGTTTTCAAAAGCGTGATTTGGAAGACTTCAATTGGGTAGCTGGGGACTAAAACTGCTTGTTTCTCGTCAATGGCAAATAATTTGCTCTGAAAAAATTAGAAGAATTCTACTGTACTAGAATGGTAAATCAGACAGCCAGTGGGGTTAAGCCGTTACGTTTCATAGTTATATGGTACTCCTAGTACGGCCAACAAATTCCGAGGCGTGGGAAGAAATCGGAACAAAATTGTCGTGAATTTTACAGTACAAAGAGGTGAAGGACTGAAGTCTGAAGGTGGCCAACGATGCGGACGACGCCGATAGCAGTGTTCATGGCTTTCGGTACTAAAGGCGATGTCTATCCCATTGCCGTAAGGTTTCCCTTACTGTTGCTTACCCGGTTCCCCCTTTTCGAATTTTGGATTTCTATTCTGTTCTCCGGAATCTCACATGAATTTCACAATTATAGAATTTTACTTGGTTAATTTCAGATGTAAAATGGACACTGTTCCATTTGTTCTGAAGGAATAGGTTTTTGAAAGGGGGATTGACAATGTAATGGTTTATTTTTATTTTTATTTTCAGGCCATAGCTGCTGCTTTTGCATGTGAAATGGAGCAATATGATGTGGTTTTCATAACTCATTCAGCACACGAGGTAGGCCTTTTAGCTGCTAACAATGACCTCTGTCTGTAAACGTAAAATTTTCATTGCATGTTTCCTTTTCATCCGTAGTTACGTGATTCGTATCATATTTAGTTTAGTCGCGGTGATGAACTACTCGTAAGGATTTTGCACAATCATATTGCTGTAGGGTAACACAATACTTCCAACTCTTTGTAGCCATTATAAGTAACCCTTTTGTTGTTTTGTTCTTTTTCTCATATTTGACGTTGAGCATCTGAGCTTTCTGTCCTCTTCATGTTTTGGTACTTATCAATCAACAATGACCTAAGTAGATATATTGTTTCTAGTCCAAATGAGAGTTCCCTGTCCCAGAGAGTACATAGTTGCTGGAGTTGGTTCCTTAGGTCTCAGACTAAATTGCATCATTTATTACATATGCTGGAGTTGGAATTGTGGTTTTTGCTCTGCTCATTCTGAGTCAATAGAGCACTTATTTGGTTCCTGCAAGTATGCATCTGAACTACGGCTAAATTAGAAGCTTGAACTTGGTTTGAAGTCTGCTTCATTTGATCTTTAAAGAGGAGAAGGGTAATGTATGTATGATAGTGGTCTAAACGAAAAGAAGTTTTTTTAGTTGCTGTGATCACAGCTGGCATTATCATGCATGTAAGGCTAGAAACTCAGTGATATGAAGGTAGGACAAGGCAAGTGGATGCTGTAGTCCGAGAAATCAAGCAATTGAGGCTGAATCTAGTAATAGAAAGGTTAAACAGAGTGAAAGAAAGTATTTTGAAGAGCTTAGAGTGCTCAGTTAGGAAATCAGCAAGTGTTTTTAGGTCCAGTTTTGATCATTTGGTGGGGGACCTCTTTGTACAGATGTGAAGAGTTTTTGGTGATGAAATATATGTTTTACTATTTACCCAAAAAAGAAAAAATTTTCCATTTGCAATGAAGCTCAGACATGGATACCAATCATAGTTACATTCTCAAACCTGTTAGTATTTTGGTGTCTTTTTGATCTATTTGAATTTGCATTAACATATCTACAGGCAGTCAAATCTCATGTTTATTCTCTTACAGAGCTTGAAAGTGCATCTGGAATCAAAAGGAGTTGCTTTCTTTCCTGTTTCTTCACCACCTGTTTTTGCTCCTCACAATTTGGCAGGTCAGCTAATGAGATATTTATTCTCAGTTTTTGACTCTGTATGGCACGTTTAACTTTTTAAAATTCTGAATATTAATTCTTCTCATAGATTCATAGCATTTTAACTTTTTCTCAGGCTCCAACGAGAAGTCCTTTTCTCTGCTGAAGAGACAAATCACTACGGATCACAGAAGGGAGTGTGTGTCGATTGTTGAAAGGGTCTTTGGAGATGACTCAAGCTTGGAAAGTGACCTTATGGTTATAAATTTCTTTGCACTGGTAAAATTTTGATTGAATTGTTTTTCTCTTGGAAACACAAATGTTTATGAATGATATTCAAAGAGTGGTAACTGGTTTCAAACATTCCATGAGTTACAGAATGTTGTCTTTAGGTATTGACTGGTTATTACAAAACTTGAGGCTGAATGTTGGCAAGATTTTAGGTAGACTTGTATATAACGTAGTATTTATGCATGGTAGCTAAGAACCTGACAATTCAACTGGAAGAATGATGACATCAGTGTTGATACTGCTATTGGTACTGGTAGGCCGTCTACTGATTGTTAAACTATGTGTAGAAGATAAAAGTTTAGTTCAAATCTGACCTTCTAAACCCCCGTTCAAGCCTAGTGGCGTGCTTTGGTCAAAGTAAAAAAATACTACCTTGTTGTTTCTGTTTCTGAAAGCTAAAAGTTTCTTAAGGTTTTCTTTTTTCTTTTCCCCGTTAAGGCTGTATCTACTTTTACGTCTCTTGTTAATTGTTGCTGTGCTATTTTGGTCCAGGAAGGGTGGAGTCTTGCTGAACTATTTTGCATTCGTTGTGTAGTTGCTGCTCCTTATGTTGTTCCTTATAGGTAATATGGGACTGCATTCAGATCATGTGTAATTTCGTGGTTCTGTTGGTCAAGGGCATCTTTTCTTTTAATTGATTATAAATCTTTTTGTGATAGTTTCACCTGGAGAAAATGTTCCATAATACTGCATGATGGCACAATTCCGAAGATGTACAAATATGTAATCTTCTATGTAACCCTTCGAAATGCAAAGGATATTTTCCAACAAGATGTAACCTTAAGGCCTAGGATCCTAGCGAATTAATGCTGGTGTAATACAGTGTGTGAATGGGAAATTTTCTGATAAAGTAAAGATATAGTATTGTCATGCTTGGCTTGGTGGTTTAACTCAACTTACTTATGTAGACTTTGAAGGTCACTATTTAAACTTACTGTGTTGCGTGTCTGTATCTTACATGTCAAACCTTTCTTTAATTCAGTGCTGCCCTCGATAGTAGTTTTCCTGAAAAGATTTCCTTGTTTATTTTCTCCTGTTCTCATTTCTGATCCACTTTTACATGCTATGCAGCGCTCCCTCGTCATTTGAAAGGAAGTTTAAAAAAGAATACCCTATTCTATACAGATATTTGTGTGAAGCTCCAGCTGATAAGGTAGAATGTAGGTTGCAAATTCATGTATTGCAACAGAAGCTCAGGTTGTTCTTTATAGTTGTCTCTCATGGGAAGGAATGAAGGTATGAAATACGTTAATCTCTAACTTGTATGTATGTAATAGGTAGGATGGAATGATGTAATTCACTGGATGTGGCCGCTCTTCACTGAAGAATGGGGATCATGGAGAAGTCTTGAACTAAGCCTAAGTCCCTGTCCTTTTACGGTTAGTCATTGTTACCGAAGAAATTCTTTGTCATATATGAATGGAAACAGTAAAGCTTTACTCTCTTCTTATGCGCAAATATCCATGCCAATTTTTTCATTTATGTCATTGGCCCAACAAAATTTGAGGGATGATTTATTTAATGATCAAGCACGATGGCGACATATGATCCATATAGCCGACCCCACCTATTGGGAAAAAGGCTTGTTGTTGTTGTATGTCAATGGCCCAAAAGTATCTATCTGGTTTCAGGATCCAGTAACAGGGCTTCCAGTATGGCATGACAGGCCTTCATCCCCCCTGCTAATGTAAGATCAACTGCCTTCCAGGGATTAGTTTGTCTTGTATTTTTATTCATATCAAAGAAGATAAAGTGACTTTCTAATGGTTGCATTTATCTATGGGTTTCATTGATAATGTAGTTGAAGAACTATTCAGTCCTTTTCTATCTAGAATTTTCTCTAGTTCCTTCCCCTTTTTGACAGAGGGTTTATATCTCATCCACAGTGGGTATACTAGTCATTGTGGTTCTTCCTTCTAAAATATTTTTTTAGTGTTGTTTCCTCTATTGGATGTACTGGCTTAGGAAGTGTGGTAAATTTATTGTGCCCATACATTGTTATTATTCATGTTCTTGTATAGATTGTCAGGGAAACTAATGAAATTTATATTCATCACTAACTTTAGCTATTCGAATCACAGGTATGGATTTAGCAAAGAAGTAGTTGAATGTCCAGGTACGCATTCTCTTAAGGAAAGTTTTGCATTTGTTTTTCAACTTTTCTTGTTACGGTGTTGTCTTTTTTACTCTTTGGGTGATGTTTCGAGAGAGCTATGCTTTAAATGGATTTTTCCTAAAAGATTGCTAAAAGGAAACAAGATATTCGGCGTCGCTTTATGGTTAGTTGAAACAGCCATAATTACACATCATTATCTTACTTTAATGTGCATTGTAACCACTTGATTGTTCGTATCAGAAACACCATGTATGACGATTTTAGTTTTCATCCAGTATGCTGGTTGTCTGTGCTTAAATAGCAAAAAGTTTCTATATTTTATTTATGTTTAGCTAATCCATTAAGTTTACCATTACAGGTTATTGGCCATCATCAGTTCGGGTATGTGGCTTTTGGTTTCTCCCATGCGAATGGCAGTTCTCATGCATCAGATGTGCAGAAATTTCTGTTTTAGCTTCGTCTAAGCTTTTGAACACGACAGATGAATTTTGTCCTGCTCACATTCAGTTGCCATCCTTTCTGGCTAGTGTTTCACCAGAAAAGCCAATTTTCATTAGTCTCAGCTCTATTGGAAGGTGAGTATCTACGAGGAAGCTGGATAGTGCCTTTTGTATTGCAAATTGCAGCATGTCTTGTTTGCAGTATGGACAAATTGCATAGCTAACTTTAGTAGATCTTGACATCTCAGTTCTACTGAACCACAATCCCCGAGAGCCAAAAAGTCTTAATTTTGCTTTTTCTAAGTTGCTGCTAATTATGAAAGAGACAGGTTCTTAAATTTGTGAATGCACGTGTCTATTTTTGAACATTCTTATAATCCTTAGTTGCATGATATGACATGGTAATCCTAATTTTCAGCTTTCTTTAGAGAACCTTTCTCTTTTTTTATTTTTTCCCCCCTAAAATGATGTTATTTGCTTTCTGCAGCATGGGTTATATGAGTAATCCCAAAGCATTTCTTCAATTACTTGGACGGGTTATTAATATTTCAAGCCACCAGTTTCTTTTATTCACAGCTGGATATGAGCCTTTGGATACTACTATAAAATTGTTTGCGGAAAAAGAATTAGCCCTTTCAGAACAAAGTCAATTAAGTGGGGATGGAGTCTCTCTCTTTGGTGGCAGACTCTTTTGTTTCTCTGGGTGAGTACTGCTAGATACTTTGCAACATTCATTGAACTCTTTACTTTTTTTCATTTGGCATCTGTTGACGATTAAGAGATATTTTTCTCTTCTACATTTAGTTCTATACCTTACAACTGGCTATTTCCAAGATGTGCTGCTGTAATCCATCATGGGGGGAGGTACGAGTTTTTTCTTATAATTGTCTTCCGCTTACTTGGCGTTCATTTTTGTTGAGAACCTAATGTTTCTTTACCGTTTTTGGAATCTTCTCTCCCTAATTTTATGCTTAACATCTCCAGTGGTTCCACCGCTGCCGCCTTGCATTCTGGAACTCCTCAGGTATGTCTTGTAAACTTAGGATTTTTTTAATCATGGCATTGTTTTTTTCATGTGATTTAATGATTTTCTGAGAAAGCATAACGAAGGATGCTGTGTTGACCATCTTAGCGTGTTCGCTTGAATTTTTTGGTTGGAGACTATTAAGAGAGCCTCTGACATTTAGATTGTTATTACCGACACTGAATATTCAGTTTATTGTTGTATTTACTATTGCAAAACGTAAATTTGTAGAAAGATGATTATATAGAAACCTTACTATTTCTTGGAACTTGTAAAGTTTGTTATTACATGGATTAGAATTGAAAAACATACCTAGGAACTCTTAATTAGTAGCAGTAACTATAGCATCTTAGCCTTCCTGACAGAATGGGCTTTTTGGCCGCCTGTTGAATATAAATTCACATTTAGGCCTGCTCACTCTCTTTTCATGCACATCTGTACATGCAAGATTTGATTTTTTATTTCAGATACTTTGTCCCTTTTGCCTGGATCAATTCTATTGGGCTGAGAGGATGTTTTGGATCGGCGTAGCCCCAGAGCCATTGAAAAGAAACCACCTAATTCCTGATAATGATGAAGATTTTCACATTAAAGAAGCTGCAGATGCAGTAGTTACGGCTATAAACTCTGCTCTGTCGGTTGAAATGAGAAAACGAGCCTTGGATATTTCCGAAAAGATATCCTTTGAGGTAACATTTCATCTTGTAGATCATCTAATATTGCATTAAAACATTGTAAAATCTTTCTGTTATTCTTCGATTACAGAGCCATCAATATGTTTGGTTCACAACTTTTTTTAATGAAAAAGAGTTATTGTTTCGCAAGACTACAAACAGAAATTTGTACCATTTCACAAAGAGTCCTTTTTTCATTCATGAGTTGTGACGTTCAGTTAATTGTTGCATCAGATAATTTTGCTTTGTTTTTAAAGTGGGAGGGGCCTCTGACTTAAAAAGAGTTTCTTCTCATTCATCTACTCTCTTTTTTTGTTTTGATATCCGTTGTTCCTATTCATGTAGTTCAACTCTGTGGCTGATAAATAGGAGTATCACTAATTTCATTTTTTAGCACCAAAAGAGAAGGCTAAGTGACCATCGTTCACATTTCATTGCATGTTGAATCAGTAAAAATTAAAAAAATTGATTGAGCCCGTCCTCATTCTGCTGCTAGTTCTCAATTCTTGTAATAGTTGAATTCATGCTCTTTCTAAGCCGGGGGCAGCACATCTGAACAAAACCACTTTAGAACCTGTTGCTGTGAGATCTTTCAAGTCAATCAGTCAGCATTCCCAAATTTTTCACATACATATAATAGTTGGTAGCAGCAAGGGATGTTCTTCAGCATTCGATCAGATGTTTTTCCTTTTGTAACTTCTTGAGAACTGTTTTAGTTCTGTACTCCAGCCTTCCAGAAAAGAGGGCTTAGATTCCCCTGGTTATTGTGTGGTTGCTTTAATATCCTAAAAAGGTTGAAATTTTTTTGAATTTGTTACCCCATCACCTTATTTTTCAAGCATAACTAATGAAAAGGTTTCTACTGACAAAATTAGTTCATATGTCTCTCGTCTTTGTAAAACGTCAAAGGTGATTGTTACCAAAGAAAGTTCACAGTTTTCATTGCACTTCTCATTTTGACAGGATGGAGTTTCAGAAGCCGTACGGATACTGAAGGAGGAGCTTTCTGGTTAGGTTTTTTTTACCTCTCAAGGAACTGCAGCTGCTAACCACTTTTGTGATCTAAATTAAATTGGAGCTTATTTTTGCTCCCTTTTGGTTTTTCGCGGTAAGTATGCACATTCTGTATAATTGAACTCCTCTGGAAACATGCAAACTCGTGCATCTCCTTTAAGAACTTGATTATGGAATCCCGAAACGGACAAGTCCCCTAAAAGTTGCACTGGAAAGACATTATAACTAGCATGAACATGTTACTATTTCGTCAAATTTAAACACTCCCTCCGTCCCATAATTATTATCCAGTTTGAGTTTTCAATTCTAGTTCAAATTGTAGTTAAAGTGAAATATCAAACTGGACAATAATTTTAGGACAGAGAGAATACACGGTTCATGATCCACCATACTATTAGGACCCGTAATTGGGTTCCCAATTTTCCACCATTTGTGTGTGTTTTTTTTGGGTTTCTTAAAGGTCACTTAATCATATCTTAACTACATTACGCCCTTTCCTCTTTGCAAACTCTCGAGTTCTGGGGTTCTTGAAAATTCTCGATTGAGTATATTTTTAATTTAACATATCAGGAAAAAGAAGAAAAAAATAGGTCTTAATTTTTAAACACCGAGTTCTATTATTTTTTTTTATAGTCCTAATATTTTTCATTGTAAAATGATTGTCATGACAATTACCAATTATATTGAGCTTAATATAATTAATTACGAGTGGAGGTTTTGTTTTGTTTTTAAATTTCTTTATCCCTCCTGCTCCGCCTCCTAACAACAGTTGAGTAGTTGACTTGGCTGAGGCAGTCTAAGGATATTCTAGTTTGGCTACCGACCGACAGAGTAGACTTGCTAGATTCAAAGTTTTTCAGCGACAAATTTGGCTTAAACAAAAGTGAGTGGGATTGCTATCTAAAGTCTAAACTTGGAGTTGGGGATCATCAAATCACAGAGTCACACAGCACATGTTTGTAATTCCACTCAACGACAAATTTGCCCTAAACTAGTTCATTTGTAACTACTCCATTATTTCCAAAAATCAAATCAAACTGTTTTTCCACACACAAACTCATGACACTGTGGGTTGACGATGTTGTAGCACCTTTTCGTTTCTTTAACAATCCAATTGAAATTTCCGAAAAAATAATTGAAGTCAATTTCAGTTTCCAAAATTATTGCAAGTATTTTAGACTGGACAAGCCAAAATGGGTTTTAACTACGCCTATACAGCTTTTGATTTCATTTCAGTCTCAGCTCTATCATTGCTTTTTATAGTTTTTCCGTCCCATTTTAACAGTCTAAAGCTGTGTTTGTTTTCTTTTTTAGTTGGCTTTTTCAGAATTAAATAATAATAATTGTTCAACTCCAACATAACTTTTTACTTCTTCCATACATTTTTTACATTCCACCTATGTCAATAATTGCTCCAACGGTGGATATTACATTACATGTGGGGGAGGCTTTTACAATGTTGACTTCTCCCAATACCCACCCACCTCGATTCAGTGTGTTAATGGTAGCAAGAAATTCAAGGCCTGACCTTTTTTCTTTTTTTAATTTTATTACACCTCCTGCTACTACTACTACTACTAGTATCAGTGAGACTCATGTGAAAATGACACGAATGCTAGCTACTAATAACAAAATTGATGAACACAGAATTGACGATGAATTTTATTTGTTTGACGTCTTGTGTAATGTGTACCATATGCATTGAATATGAACATCAATTAATCAATATCATCTGAACAACAAACAACACGGAAACACGATTGATACAACCAATTAATAAAAAAAGAAACACAAGTAGCTAGCTAGCAATTTGTTGAGTCTAAAACTAATAAACCACTTTGTCCTTCACGTTAAACCAAGTTTCGAGTTTGAACATGTGTAGAACACCAACAGTCTCATTTGAAAAATCAAAATGTAGGCTCCCATTTACTCATTTTCTTTTCTTACTTCTCGTCTCTCAAAAGTCTCACACCATATCTTATGAGATCTGATCAAAATTCAAAACCAATGTTTGTTTTCGCTACTTATAAAAAGGTCTCCCCAAAACCAAAAGTCCAAAAACCTCTCCATAAGATTTGCACCCATCATCCTTCTTGTTTTTCTTTTTGGCAATTTCTTTTCGAACTTCAAACTCCCAAATTAAGCCCCCATCCAAAACAATGTCCCAGGGAAGATGCAGTGCAGCAACAATGGCCACCACATTCATGGTGATGTGCTTGTTCGTGCTTCTTCACTACTCCGACGTAGCTGAAGCAGCCCCGAAGACTTACTACGTGGGTGGAATAACAAACGGTTGGACCTTCAACGTTCAATCTTGGAGTAGAGGCAAGCGATTCGCGGTTGGCGACACCCTAGGTACGTACTCTGTGATTACAATATTCTCGCTACTAAGATTTCGTACAAACAAATATCATATTAATTAAAATGCGTGACTATAGTTTGAAATTAATCACTATGTATATGTATATATACTATTATATTTTGACAGTTTTCAAGTACAATCGATCATTCCACAATGTGGTGGCATTCTACGGGCCTAGAAATGGAGGAAATTTTGCGAAATGCATCGCTCCAAGGGGTGCTACAGTGCGTCAAACTGGGAGGGACCTAATCAAGCTGGTCAAAGGACCAAATTACTTCATCTGCAGTTATCCAGGCCATTGTCAATCTGGGATGAAGATTGCCATCTTTGTTTGACTTTGATCTGGGTCGTCCATCGATTATTGACCCACCCCACTTTGACTACTCGACGTATGTGTCCAATTTATATTTCATAGTATTCAATAAATCATTTAGCAATTATATTCATGTCAGAGTACTCTGCCAAGAGATATGATTGAAAATGTACTCTACTGTCTTTTGTAGTAGTTTTTCCCCCCCCCCTTAATATGTGTGATGATAATTTTGACCAATTCAATATAGGTCAACAATAAATTAATCTTCAAAGTTCAAACGGGTGTGTGTGTGTGTGTGTGCGTGTTTTTTTTTTTGTAATAAAAAAATTTATTTATATACCTTTATCATGCTTAATATCAAAACTAAGATAATTATTTTGTTTTACATTCGAAAAAAGGCAAACGTAACTATTGTCTTATTTTGCAAACTATTGTCTTATTGACTCCTCTGTACTGTCCTCACCTTAAAATAATCATATCTCAGTAGGATTAAAGAATCCACTTTTTTTTTTTTATTGTTAGAAAATTATTCGAGCGGAAGCAAATATTATAAGATTCCATAACAAACTTGAGTATAGTGAAAGCTCTCTAAATTAATAGCCTTGGGCCTTTCAAAATTTATTAATTTATCGATAACTTCATAATTATTAATTTAAAGAGTTTTTCAATGCTAATAGGGGATAATCTTTGCCAAGAAGAAAAGAAAAGTCGATTATAAATATGGACTTCTAACTTTATTAATACGATAATAGGATTCTCTTTGTGTGGCTGTAAATTTTGGATCTCTAGAAAAGAAGTACTAAACGCAATAGCAACTCGTCATGATTTTTTTGTTGCAGTATAACAGAATGAGGTGTAATAGCGTAGGTACTTCTCACTAATACAGATACCGTTTTCAAATAAATAAATAAATAAATAAAACACAGTGACATGGAAATTTTGAATGCAATAAGAAGGATCAAAGATGATATCTCCATTGATATAAATTTTAAGAAAAAATAAAGATCAATAGAGTCATATTTTACTAGAAATTTTATTAGTTTTTGTTTAGGTAATTATTAATTTATGAAAATGTGGTGACCTATATTTACATTGGAGATTCTTGAAAATTTATTATTTTATAAATTAATCAAGTTTTTTCATTTTTCTTACTGGTCCCGAGTTGGGACCGGTAAAAATTATTATTTAATGGAGATTATAAATTTATAGAGTTTTATCTTCAAAGATAACTTTAGACCTATAATTATCTTGAAAATATAATAAGTCCTTTTCATCAGGACACGGATCAAGATATTTGCGAGTGTGTTGCGAAGAAGAACTCGCCATATTCCTACACCTACACAATTTCAATAAAAACAGAAAATAAACTACTGCTCAACTTCACAAAGCCAATACACAAACCATAAATCAATATATGCAACTTAGAGATAAATTAGCATGTGAAGACAATAAAGTTCCCCCTTTTATTATTTTCAGAACCCAACAGAAGATTAGCCAAGCAAAAAACAACATATCTATTACATATTTAACAGATTGAAATGAAAGCTGTCAAAAATTCTAAGTAGTTAGCTCCACAACTCAATTGAGATTTCAAAACCATTGCAAAAGCAGGCCAATAATTGTAAACTTATGCAACCTACTTATGCAAACAATGAACAGAAAAACATCAAATTCAACCTACACTAATTATATTGATCAATTGGACATTTTAACAAACAGTTGAGCATGTGATCTTCATCCACAAACAACCTCACAATATATTTTGGAATCAATTCAACTCAAAAACAAAAATAATAAAGAAAAGGGACCCCATTATCATAGCTAAAAAGGAAACAAAAATTTAGAGAAGGCTAGTTGATTTGCATCCTTTTCTTTTTTGTAAAATAACAAGGCTAGTTGATTTGCATCCTTTTTTATTCCAAAATAATAATCTGAAAATAAAATTTAAATTGAACATTCATTTTGACCCGAGATAAACACCTACTTAAAATTTATGAAATCAAATCTTAGACTGGTATGGTATATATTCGTTCTATCCGTGCCATTTGATTCTGACAATCTTCTCTGTGATCAAATCTACATCAAATTAATTTTTTCTTAAAAAAAAAAAACACTAGAGAACAATATCAAAACGTATAATTAAAAAAATCGTGGTCGAGTAATAATTGGATAAATAAAGATGAGATTATCACACGTTATCAGAATTTCTTACCAATGCCGTCTGGGGCAGTTTAATCTTAACATGCATTTATCTTATTTTTTGTTTATTCCATCCCGATTCGTTGTACATAATAAATTATTACTAGTAGATTGCATAAGATAAAATCATAAAATGCCTTCAAGGCCATATTAGTTTCTTGACCCATTCATTTCCCTACTCCCTACTTATGAATAAATATCTTGGCATTGATTATGGGTATTCGGTGCACTTAATCATCAACTCTCGTGTCTATATATACCATGAACCCAAATCTCTACAGTAAACGCGTGGCTCCGAGGCCATGCTTAATCAATTTATTAGAAGGTAACTTAATTAAGGTGATATAGGCATTTAAGGACATGCGTAAGATTACTTTGAGGATATCTAAACTGATTATTCGGAATTCATATTCCATGATTAACTTACTAACCAAAATTTGTGAAGAATGAAGCCACAATGTACCATCTTCTCCCTATATAAAGAGGTGGTAGAGGGAGCATTCTGTTCATTCATCCCTCAAATTGCCATTTGATTCCCCTTTGAAATATTTTGCAATATACCTCTCAACCCAAAATGTCGAAAACACAGCTCACTGTAGTTTGCAGCGCTGTTTTGGTTTTTACTTTGTTATTACAAAGTAACATTTGTAGCGCCGCCGAGTGGTTTGTTGGTGATAACGCGGGTTGGGGTTATCATGTTGCCGGGTGGGAAGATGGCAAAAGTTTCAAAGCCGGCGACATTCTTGGTACGGACATTTATCATAAACGTTTTTACAAATATTATAAATTAGTACTCCCCCGTATCATAATTATTGTTCAGTTTGAGTTTTCATTTTTCAAATTGTACTAAAAGTGAAATCTCAAACTGGACAATAATTTTGAGACAGAGGAGTATCATCTATATCTCGTCTCATAACATAATTATATATATATATATATTCACAATATGTGACTCACGTGGCATATTTATCTAGCTCTGTTGTGTGACCAGATAGATGATCGTATATCTTTTCTCGATTCAAACTTTTTTTTTTTAACTTTTTTATATCCACGCAGTTTTCAACTATCCTCTAGGAAGTCACACCGTAGTTCAAGTGAACAAGGCTAATTACGATTCATGCACTCCTTCAGGGACTACATTTGCATCAGGACTTGATTTTATAACCCTCAAACCAGGATTTAACTACTTCATTAGTGGGATTTCTCCTGATTGCAGCAATCTTGGAATGAAGATTGCTGTCAATGCTGCTTAAATTAGTCTCTCCTTTGTTGGAGACGAGAATTCTTTTGAACCCCTTATAACTATTTTAATTTGTTTTATTTTTTGCTAGACACTAATTGTAATGTAATTACATGAAGGTTCTATTTGAAATTTGATGTATAAATATTATGATAAAATGGTAACAAGAGAAAACAAAAATTAATGGTGTAAATCTTGCACAACTACATACTGGAGTATTTGTTGTTGTGCACGTTCCGATTTTCCCAACTCTACGTACTGCGAAAAATGAAAAAGAAAAGAAAACAGTTAATAAACTAACAGTCACTAACAAATGTGTTAGTGAATAACCTTTTCTTCACCCTTGATTTTTAGTCGATGATGTATATGAATGCGGCTAAATTTTGGGATCAATCTGCCCGTGGATTTTAGTTGCTCAAGGGGGGAGAAAAAACTTTATTGATTTTACTATCAAATGTTTATTAGCAAGTTGATTGAGGATGTCAAAGGATAACTGTTGATTTTAACAGTCTTTTACGAAATATTGTTCCACATCGAAAAGCTAACGTTGATGATGCTCTATTTGTTTTATTAGTATTTCGGAAGGAAAATTTGTTTTAACATTTACTTTCTAAATAACATCAAAAATATTATAGTTTACCTTAATTCTAAAATTCATTTACAGTGGGAAAATTTCCCCTCTGCAACACTGCTTTCCATGTCAAAAAAAAAAAGAAAAAGAAAAGGAAAACCCTCCAAAACTATTTTATCTGTCCAAACTCGACAAGGGAACAAAACAAATTGATCTAACAAGGCTAGATTTTTTTTGGGGAGGGATAAAATAACAAGGTTAATCGATTTGCATCCTTTCTGTTCCAAAATAATTATCTAAAAATAAAAATCTAAATCATTTTGAAGCGAGAAAACACTTGTTAAAAAGTTCCAAAATCAAATCTTAGATTTGACGCAGTACGGATGAAACGTCCCTGCCATTAGATTCTGACATTTTTCTCTGTGATCAATTCTACGTCAAATTAATTAAAAAAAACACTAGAGAACAATATCAAAACGTGACGAAGGATGAAATTGTACCGTCGTCTCCAGTTGATTGAACCAGCAACTGCGGCGGTTATAAAATCATAAAGCCTGCAAGACAGAGTCTCGGGGTTTCTCGAGGGTAGACTCTCCGATGCTTAAATCAGTAAGAATACTCGTAATAATGGTATGAACTGGGTGCATAAAACGTACCTTTAATGTGAGGGGTTGATCCCTATTTATAGAGTTAGGTTATGAAATTCTTTCTAAGTAGGAAAGTTATTAAGAACCAACTTAGAAACTTTCAGGGGCCGATTGAACCGTTTATCGAACTTGGGCCGACCTAGTCACGGCTCGTATCAATTTGGACTCATCAAAACGTGTAATTAAAACCGTGGTCAAGTAATAATAATTGGATAGACAAAGATGAGATTATCACATATTATCAGAATTTCTTACCAATGACGTGGGGCAGTTTAATCATCTTAACATGCATTTATTTTGTTTATTCCATCCTGATTCGTTGTACATAATAAATTATTACTAGTAGATTGCATAAGATAAAATCATAAAATGCCTTCAAGGCCATATTAGTTTTTTGACCCATTCATTTCCCTGCTTATGAATGAATATCTTGGCATTGATTATGGGTATTCGGTGCACTTAATCATCAACTCTCGTCTCTATACCATGAACCCAAATCTCTACAGTAAACCCATGCCCTGAGCATTCAGTTCATTCATCTCTTGAAATTGCCTTTTTGATTCCCTTTATAATTTTTTATTTTTTGCAATTTTTACCATTTCCAAACAATGTTAAAAGCACAACTTTTGTGGCACTTGTCGCGCGGAACTATATACCGTGTAATAGTATTTTTGATCGCTAATAACTGACATCTCAATAATGGTAATCCATAAAAATACTCAAAGTTTTTATTATTTTACAATCACTTGATTTTTAACTTTGAGTAATGATAGAGACATAAAAAAATAATAGTAAAAACCCATAGTGACTGGTATGTACTTAATAATTAAAGGCAAAAGTGTAATTTAAGGAAGAAAATAAAATTTTAACGGGATAGTGACAACAAAATAGAGGGTTATATTATTCCGCATCAGTCATTATTTTCTTTCATCATACATATTATTTTTCCTTTAACAATTACTCCCTCTTCCGGAAAATAAATATATAGTTTGGATTTTCATTTTTTAGTACAATTTACTAAAAATATAAATCCTAACTGAACAATTATTTTGAGATGGATGGAGCATTATTTTTCAAACCTTAAGAACCACTATATTAAAACTCAATATTCATTTTAAATGTCAAACCAATTTAATTAATGTAGCAACCAAAATTTTTCATAGCGAGACAATTTATAAAATTAAATTAATACATCGGGTAAAATGGAAGTAGATAGAAAAAAAAAAAAAAACTAAAACTAAAACAAAATTAAAACTCTGGAAGTTTGACTTGAAATACATCGCATCTTATAACTGACAGCCCGTGGTTCTGAAATCGCCTCGATATATATTCACTTGAGTGAAATACGTCTCAAAATTAATTCATTAGAAGGTGAATTGTTTAAGGTGATAGGCATTTAAGGACATGCTTAAGATTAATTTGAGGATATCTAAACTAACCATTGCTGTGATTAGCTTACTAACCGAAATTTGTGAAGAAAATGTACCGTGTTCTCCCTATATAAAGAGGTGATAGGGGGAGCACTCAGTTCATTCATCCCTCAAATTGCCATTTGATTCCCTTTAGAATTATTTTGCAATATATCTCTCAAACCCAAAATGTCAAAAACACAATTCATTGTAGTTTACAGCGCTGTTTTGGTTTTTACTTTGTTACTACAAAGTAACATTTGTAGCGCCGCTGATTGGACCGTTGGCGATGCCAAGGGTTGGTCTTTTAACGTTGCTGGATGGGAAAATGGCAAAAGTTTCAAAGCCGGCGACGTTCTTGGTACGTATATTTATCATAAACGTTTTTACAAATATTATAAATCAGTATTATCTATCTCGTCTCATGACATAATTATAGGTATATATATTTTCACAATATGTGACTCACGTGGCATATATATCTAGCTGTGTAGTGTGATGAGATAGATGATCGTATATCTTTTCCCGATTCAAACTTTTTTTTTAACTTCCTTTTATATTTACGTAGTTTTCAACTATCCTAAAGGAGGTCACACCGTAGTTCAAGTGAACAAGGCTAATTACGATTCATGCACTCCTTCAGGGACTACACATACATCAGGAAGTGATAGAATAACCATCAACAAAGGATTTAACTACTTCATTTGTGGGATTCCTTCTCATTGCAGCAATCTTGGAATGAAGATTGCTGTCAATGCTGCTTAAATTCATTAGTCTCTCCTTTGTTGGAGACGAGAATTCTTTTGAACCCTTATCATTATTTTAATTTGTTTAATTAATTTATTTTTTGCTAGATTAATTGTAATGTAATTACATGAAGGTTCTATAAATTTGAACTTTGATGTATAAATATTATGATACGATTAATTTAATTGATTTGGTTGCCAGTTTAATTGATAAAATGGTAACAAGAGAAAACAAAAATTAATGGTGCAGATCTTGCACAACTACATACTGGAGTATTTGTTGTTGTGTAATGTGAAAAATGAAAAACAAAAGAAAACAGTTAATAAATTAACAGTCACTAAAAAATGTGTTAGTGAATAACCTTTTCTTCACTCTCATAGAAACTACATACTTGCCCCGGCCAAATGTTTGGGGGCGTCCCACCTAATAAATTGATATGTAAATAATCAAAATTGATTAGGAATGAATTTAGTTTTTTATGAAAATAATTGATTGACCGAAAATTAATTTTTTCGGAAGTCCTAAATAAATGGAGAAGGAAAATTTCATACACTGTTAAATTCAAAATTTGAATGAATATGGCCATCTGATCTCTTCATTAATATTGTAAATATATTTTTTGTTTTTAAAAGGAGGTGACACGTGACAAAATGATTTATGCAATATGGTGTATTTGAAGCCAAAATATTTTAATAAGAAATTACCACATCAACATTCTATTTTCTGCTTTAATAGGGTAAAAGGATAATGAAAATCAATTCATAATACTTTAGATCTTAATAACTCAAATATGTAATTACTAATAAACAACTAGTTATATTTCTCTTGTACGATACAACTGGTATACAATCAAATTCTGATCTGAACATTTAATAAGAAATGAAAAAGTTTTACTAATCCATGTATAATAACTAATATGGATTAATTTACAAAAAAAAATTATCTTCTTCGATTTCGTATAGGGTTCTTCTTTATGAAGAATTCACCCTTGATTTTTAGTCGATGATGTATATGAATACGGCCAAATTTTGGAATCAGATTGGCCTTGAATATTAGTTGCTCATGGATGGGGAGAAAAAAGTTTATTGGCTTTACAATTAAATTAAAAAAATCTGTTAATTTTGGTATTTTGATTTCGACGGAGAATGATATTGCGCTGGCAATACCAATATTATTACCAAAAGATAAGTATAGATTCATCTCCTTAATTATGCGATTTAAATTTGGATACTATTTTTATAATACGCATTGAAGGGCATATATTTTCTCCCGTATTCATTTCCCTTCTTCTATTTTTGTTTTTTATTTTGAAAATTTCCTTCTTGAATATTTGTATAGATTATGGGTATTAATTAAATCCCATGATTAATTGTCAAACCGTTAATTTTATGCAAAACAATTGTTAAAAAATCTCCCACCACTCCTATATAAGGAGGATCAGATTACTGATGAGTAGTCAATTCATCGATCCACCCCCCGCTCATAATTCATCCCTCAAAACTGCCTTTTCAAAATTTCCTTGAAATATTCATTGTTTTGCATTAACCAATTAATATCTCCAGAAAATGTCAAAGACACTCTGACGAGTCCAAATTAGTACGGCCCGCGACTAAGCCGGCCCAAGTTCGATGAAAAGTTCAACCGGCCTCTGGAAACTTCTAGATCGGTTCTTAATTAATTTTCTACCAAGAAAAGGTTCCATAACTTAGTTTTATAAATAGGGATCAACCCTTCACGGTTAAAAGGACGCTCTACATACCACAATTCATACCTTCATCATAATTACTTTTACTAACTTAAGTATCGGAGTGTTTACCTTCGGGAGACCCCGAGACCCTCTTTTGCAGGTATTAGGGCTTCAACGCCGCCATTGCATAATATACGAAACAACCGAACCGAAACATTGGTGCAGATCCATGCTTCGTCACACTCCTTAACTTAGCTTGTGGAGTAGCGATTATTCTTTTATTGCTAGTGCAAAGTGATAGTGTTAGCGCAACCGACTTCACCTTTGGAGGTGCCAAAGGTTGGGATTTTGACGTTGCCGGATGGGAAATTGACACAAGCTTCAAGGCTGGCGATGTTTTGGGTACGTAAACATTGCTTCCTTAAAAAGATAGTCCATGAAAAGTACAAATTTTTGAAAAATTCAATGTGATTTTTTTTTTATAACAAAAGGGGAAATTTCATTTTCTTTACACGAAACATCGTCAGTCGTTCTTTAGCGGAAAAATTGGCGGATCTACTCAAAGTTTTACATGTTTCATCAATTCTACCATATTCTTTTTTGGTTAGCTAATATTACCCTAAACTATCCAACCGTTAGCCGATTTTGTCCAATTTGCTATTTTCCGTCTATATTAACGGAATTCTATTTGTTTTAATTATAAAAATACTCTAATAGTTTTAAAAATTTATAAAAATGACCCCAAAAATTTATAAAAATTATAAAATAGTCTATTTTCTGTTTTTATTAAAAATTTTCTGTTTTTTATTTCTTTTTACCATTTTTCATTACTATAAAAATATACTATATGATCTTTTAAAAAAAATATTTATTTTTAAAATTTAATGTACAAATTTTTAATTACATATTTGTATGTCATGTTTGATTTAGTAAGCATATTAATTTTTTAATAATATGGTTTTACAATAATGATACTATTTTTTACAATAATGATACTAATTCTTCACAAAAAAATTAAACAATTCGCATAGATTAAAAAAGAATCTATTGGTATACTTTAATATCTTACAATTTAATTCAACTGGCTTTAGATTGTATTTTAAAATTCGAAAAGAAATTAAGACTAAAATATAAATTTTTTTTAAAAGGTCAAGTACAGACAGAAAGTAAAAAAATAAAAAACGCCTATATCGTTTCTACGTTGGCCCAACACAAGAATATAGTGTCGTGACATTTACAAAAATGATACAAAATATTTTATAAAAAATATGTATATTTATTACTGCGAGGGTTTAACATTTTGTGATAATATTTTGAGAACTAATATATCTAACTTTAGCAGGAAGTCTTTTTTTAAAAAAAAATAAAAAAAAAAATCTATTCCAGTACTGGACTCCACTTTTTTTTTATATTAAAAAAGCAAATTAGATTTCTCCAGTGAGAATCGAACCTCGAACACAGTTTTAATCATCTCATATCTTAAATCACCTAACTATCCAATGCAACCCTCTTACCTATAGTGGACCTCGCTTAGACGTGGTAAAATCACTCTCCCGGTTAGAAATACTTTGATGACAATTATTCTTACATCTACTCTCATGAAACTTAACACCCTAAACACTAGACAGTACCCTATATTTTAATTTAATAATTTTTTAATTGAATAATACAATCTATAGTCTGTTTAGTTAATTTACAATAAATTAAAATGTACTAATATATATTTTTTAATCTATGCTAAATGTTTTTATTTTTTGTAAAAAATTAGTTTTAGTCAAAAACATCTTATTCTTTAAATTGAAAAAAACGGATTAAAAGAGTAATATCATTATTTTCTAGCCATATTACTAAAAAAATTAATATGTTTATGTAAATCAATCATGAGTTACAAAATGTATATCTCTAAATTTGTACTGTAGTGTTTAAAAATAAATTATTTATAAAGATCATATATTATATTTTTATGGTTATGGAAAATAGTAAAAAGAAATTAAAAAAAAAGAAAAATTTAAATAAAAACTGAAAAGAGACTATTTTGTAATTTTTGTAAATTTTGGGGATTCTTTTTATAAATTTTTAAAACTATTAGGGTATTTTTGTAATTAAGATAAATAAAATTCCGTTAATTTAGATGGAAAATAGCAAATTAGACAAAATCGGCTAACGGTTGGATAGTTTAGGGTAATATTAGCTAACCGAAAAAGAATATGATAGAATTGACGACACATGTAAAGTTTTGGGTAGATCCGCTAATTTTTCCGTTCTTTAGCTTTTATCAAATATTATTACTTTCTTGTCTCGTGAAAAAATTAATAATTTATTTTGTTGAAACGGAAATTGCAGTTTTTAATTACCGTCGCGGGTTTCACACTGTAGATCAGATGAACAAGACTAATTACGATTCATGTACCCTGCGGGTGGCCTTAGTTTTTCATCCGGAAGCGATAGATTAACCCTTCGACGAGGCTTCAACTACTTCATATGTTCTGTTGGTTCTCATTGCAGCGATGGTGGAATGAAGATTGCAGTCAATGCTGCTTAAATTATTTGGTTTATTTCATGGTTTCTTAATTCTTGGAATTCTTTTGAAACCTATCTAGATACATATATTGTAATATACCCCCTCTCTGTCTAAAAAAAAAAAAATCACTTTATTGAATTAGTTCACTCATCACACATTAATGATTTAATATTAATTTATTTATTATCATAAACTTGAATTGAGTTCTTTGTCATTTATTTGCATTTCATATATATATATATATATATAATTTAAGCAATGTAAGAGGCATTCATTATATCAAGTTATCAACATTTATCAGCTACAGAAATACCTACAACCTCGATTTGACTTCTAGTTATAAAAACTCAGTTTTTGTTAGTTGTCACCCACATAAAAATGATGAAAATCGGTCGGTTCACAACTTATGAAAGATTAAATTGAAGGGCGTAATTGAGGTGTGATCCTTGTAAAACAACAATGATATATTAGAGATATATATTTTTTTGAACATGTGATTTATTATACTAATAGTTTAATGGAAGTGGAATTTCCGAATAATAAAAAGTTGAAGTGCAAAAAATGAAATTAATCTTTATTCTTTAACAAATACTCCCTCCGTCCCATAATTATTGTCCAGTTTTACTAAAATGAAAGATTTTATTTTTAGTCAAATTTAACTATATTTTACCTTGAACAACCGGATATACCCCTACATAAGTAATTGTTTAACCACAAAGATTTTAATGGATAATGTTTTTTACTAAGGACAAATGTGTAACTTGATCCATAAAAAGTCAAATTGGACAATAATTTTAGGACAAAATTTTTTGGGCAAACTAGACAATAATTATGGGACAGAGGGAGTACCACAGTTGTTACGTCGCATCAAAATTTTGAAAACTTTAAAGGTTTTAAGGGAAAATGAAGTAAAAATTAAGGCCTTGTTTGTTTTATTTTTTTGATGGTATTTTTAAATTAAAATATTAATAACTATCTATCCCAACTTATCTTTTTATATTTTCAATACACATTTTTACATTCCCAATACAAAAAACACCTAAAAGCATATACTAAAAAAACAAAACAAACATACTACATATATATGCTTTATCCTGTTACTACCATCAAATCCGTTATCGTCCAGCGGTTAGGATATCTGGCTTTCACCCAGGAGACCCGGGTTCGATTCCCGGTAACGGAACCTTTTGCCCTTTTTTTTGTGAAAAATTTATCCCTAGTGTTTAACTTTTTTCTTTTTTTTTTTTTTAAGAGAAAGTAGTGTTTAACTTGTGAAGCCCACAAAAAGTCTATCCAAAATAGAATTTATGCCAACCAAAAAAAGCTCCAAAACCTCACCAGACTTTGAACTAAAATGGCTGCTTCGTCCATCTCTTCTTCCTCTTCTTCTTCATGTCAGCTTGATGATGGTCTGAAAGATAATACTCACAAGTTCCTTTCTTTAGCCTCACTTCCTCTTCCGTCTAACAGCCAAAACAACTGGATTGCCTCTGAATCCAGAACCAATCTCTCTCTTAAAGCATCAGGTCATCCGTGTTTGAAATGGAGGACTGGAGTTTCTCTCTTTCAATCATTTCTGACCAAAGAAGATAACGTTGAGAGCCTCAAACAGGAGCTTCTTGATGCCATTTCTCCCCTTGATCGTGGTGCTGAGGCCACCCCACAAGACCAAGAACTCGTTGATCAGGTGGGTTTAGCATGGGAAATTGGAATTTCAATTTTTTTTTTTTCCTTTTAAATCCAATGTCTGTATTCAGATTAATCAGGATTATTATGGTACAGATTGCTCGAAAGTTGGAAGCAGTAAACAAAGTGAAGGAGCCACTCAAATCCAGTTTATTGAATGGTAAATGGGAGCTACTTTACACAACTTCCGATTCAATTCTACAAACCAAGGTGGGGAGTATGATTAGTCTGATTTAGCAACCAAATTTCATTGCCGTCTCTGAGATCATCTTCATTTGTTTACGCTTTAATGCGTATGTGCAGAGGCCTAAAATACTAAGGCCTAATGGGAAAATCTACCAGGCAATCAATGGGGACACATTGCGGGCTCAAAATATGGAAACTTGGCCTTTCTTCAATCAGGTACTGAATTCCCTTTTTAGCTTGAAATTTGATTTGATGGCCTTTCTTGAACCAAGAAAGAATTGAATGAATTATATCCAAGTTCCACTGTGTTCTGTTAATGTGCTTCTGAACAGGCCACGGCCAATTTAGTTCCCCTGAATGCGACAAGGGTAGCTGTTAAATTTGATTCTTTCAAGATTGCTGGAGTGGTAGGTTCATTTTAGTGTTGGTATCTCGTATCCTCCTCCCGCCCCACAAAGTCGATTATTTTTCTGGGACGAATGAAATATGTTTTTAAGAGTGACTGAGCAAAATTAACACAGATGAACGTTTGTTTTGTGGTCAGATACCCATAATGGCTCGGGGAAGTGGTCGCGGACAATTGGAAATAACATATTTGGATGAAGAATTAAGGTAAAGAAATTTTGATGAAAGCCCTTTTCTGATTTCTTGTTAATTAACAACCGGAAAGAAATGTTAATGCGAGTTTATAAAAAAGAAACAAATCAATATCTCTGTTGTGTGACAGGATATCCAGGGGGAATCTAGGAAACTTATTCATTCTGAAAATGGCGGATCCCTCTTACAGAGTCCCTCTTTGACCTAAATTCCTAACAAATGAATGATATACATCCAGATTTGTGGTCTTTATTTTCATCTTTGTTGATAGTTTTTTTTGCTAATGACATTCATGCATTGTTGTTGGCTTAACATCCAGATCCAGTGTTAAAAATCAGCACATAAAAACACGATTATTACACCAAACCCTCGAGCTCATTGATTTTAGCTATTAAAAATTCATAAATTTCTAATGCATGACATAGTGTGACCCATGAAAATCAGCAACTATCCAACAATGTAAAACATCTCCCTCCCAACGCCTTCTTACTATTTTTATATTAGAGAAATGAAAATCATGTTATTATTTAAAAACAATAAACTAATTTAGGAGTATATACTATATAGTACCAGTTAAAATATTATTACGTGGGAGTTTGGCATATGTTTCCGACTTTTCGTCACAAAAGTGTGCTGCAAACTCACTCATGTTTGTGTCATAGGTAAAAACCACCTTTTCCATTTTACCTATGAAATTAACCTTTTTAATGACTTATTTGTTTTGGACAAATATCCTCTCTGTCGTAGAATAATTATTATTTAAATTTTTAATTTTAATACAATTTGTATCGAGAATGAATAGTTAAACTAGATAATCTTAGAACATGAAAGTAGTCATTGCAATCGAAGTAACTTAGCAAAATTTGGCCATTAAGAAAAGATTTAAAATAACAAAAGTAATTGAGTCTGGTTTCCTCAAAGCGTTCATGTGACAGAATTAGTAGGGGTGTCATTTAACCAGGTCAACCAGAAGACTCATTCGAACCGAACCCCGTTTCGGGTCATACGGTTTGGTTAATCAGCCAATTCGGGACTGTGCGGGTCCACCCAATTAACCGTATAACCATTTCGGTGTAAGTGCGGGGGAGAGAGAGATTACTTTAGGCACCGTCTGAAACCCGAAATAATAAAAATATTTTTTTATTTTTTAAATAATATTTATAGACCTAGGTTGACTACTTCAGACCTCATTCTAATTTATTTTTTTCCTCCTCTCTCCCCCACAAGTCCACAACAGACAACGCCTCCAAGTTTTTTCTCCACTCTCGGCTACAAACTCCCACCCCAACCAATTCTCCACCTCTTTCGGCTAAAATTCCCACACTCCTCCCAACGACCAACAACAACACCCCGCGCTACGATTTCCTCCCTCTTTTTTTGCTCTATATCTTCTCAAATCTCCAATCCTCCAATTCTATAGCATCCAATTCTTCTTTTCCTTCATCCTATTTCCATCAAAATCGCCCAAATCTGACTAATTTTGACATCAATTGCTACAGCAATGGGCACGATTTCAAGCAAGATGATGAAAGTTTTTTTTTTTTTTTTTTTTGAGCTACAACAACAATCGCTCAGATCTGAACTATTCCAACATTTATTTGTTTGATTTTTTTTCATATTTTTTGTTCGTATTGAAATGATTTTGTGGGAATAAGAAGGATTTGTTGTGTTTGTGGAGCTGTTTCATTGGAAATAAGCTTTTGCTGTCGATTTTTTCGGAGGAGAAAGTGTTAAACACTATCCTGGTAACTTTCTCAAAAAAAATAAAAACGAAAAATAAAATTATGCGAGTGAACCAGAAACCGAACCGAAACACTTGATTTCTTTTTCAGTCGGTTTGGTTCGGTGTCGTAGACTTTACGGTTCAGTTTTGGGCGGGCGTTGTGATAAGAAAAAATCAATTAACTCGAGCCGAACTCATCCGAATCGACTGAACCTGTCCGAATTAATAGCTCTAAGAATTGGTATCGCCAAAAAACTCCATGTATAAAAGGGAAAAAAGAAAAAAGCATAACAAAGAAAGCGGTGGAAAAATTAAATATTGAGCAAAAATTAACTCTTCCATTAAAATAAAAACATGTTTCAGTAAGAAAAAAAAAAAGGAGTACTATATTTAATACTATGTTTTTTTACAATATTAACTCCATGATCTTTTTGCATCCAAGAAAATAGCAACTACATTGTATTGGAAGAAAAAAAAAAAAATTACAGAAAAAATGAAACGTCCTTGTCGCTGTTTTCATGCTTTCTTCTCCAACTCCAACTTCGAACCAAAAAATCCCATAACAACAATGGCCGCACTCTCCTCTTTCTTCCTCCCCAACCAGCATCGTTCGCTCCGTCAGAATTTCACTCCGGCCCTTCTTCCCCGGCGAACCGTTAATTATTCTACCAAGGCAACCTCCACGGAGTCACCGCCTCCACCACCGACACCGCCGCCTGAGAAGAAATCCTTCGCGGTGGCAACAGGGGAGCTATTCCTCGGCCTGGCTGCCAGGCTAATTGTAAGGCGGGACGAAGTCGGCGTAGCCGGAGGGGAGGGCAACAATGGGTCGGGTCAGGGAGTGGCAATTTTCCCGGGGAATGATCGGACGGTGTCGTCGTGGTGGAGGCGTCGGAGTAAGGAGGACGTTGCTTCCGTTGTGCAGGATCCCGTGCAGCCGGACGTTGTGTGGGAGCAGAGAGAGAAAGATGTGGAGGCCGAGCGGGAACGGAAGGCGGTGACGAGCCCTGGTTTCAGCTTCTCTGCTGCCGGTCTTTTGTTTCCATACCATCTTGGTGTTGCTAAATATTTATTGGAGAATGGATACATTAAGGTACTTCTCTTATGAATCCAGTTTGTGGTTCTTTCAAGTATTTATTGAAAGAGAGGGGAAATTCGTGTTGTTAGCTTCTCTCCGTTTCAGTCTTAATCGGGAAGGATTATGTCTAACTTCCTAAACAAATCTTCACTGAATTACTAGTGCTTTGCTTCATTTGAAAGTATCATTATTGACATGACATGCATGTAAATATTAGTTATTCAATTGGAACTACTAATGAATACCAGTAGTTAAGCGGGAGAGGAAAGGACTTTTGGTTATTTTGACTTATACAGTATATTAATTTTTGATATGTGCCTTCAAGTTTTGCTTTTTTATATGATGCAGGAGACAACGCCATTGGCTGGTTCATCTGCAGGTGCAATTGTCTGTGCAGTGATTGCCTCCGGTGCTACCATGGAAGAAGCTTTGAAAGCTACAAAAATTTTATCTGATAATTGTCGGCTTAAGGGGACCGCATTTCGTTTAGGGGTATGTGCTATTTTGATGAAGAATGAAATTTGGATGTGATTCTTGTTGCTATTTTGCTTTCTTGTACCTAGGTTACTGACTTGTACCATGGTATTCTTCAAGCAACTTAGAGTTTTAGAATGTGAGAGAGATGCTTGAAATTTTACAAATACATCAGCAAATGGCTTGGTCGATACCATCATGGCATAACATCCATTTCTTTGAACGCTGCTTCAAAATTGTCAATCCAACCTCACTAATTTGCCTTTATTTGTCGAGCCTACAAAAAATAAACTATACTTAGTAGTATAGTTTGCATTTGCACTTGAGGCACTTATAATTGCATTGTTGATCCATGACATCTCGAAGATCATATAGTTCTCTGTGAAGTTGTGGATGGAGGAGTCGATTATACGACTTTTTTGTTGTTGCACATGCCCGGCTGTACAGGTTAAAGTATCAGAGCCTCATAGTGATCATGCTTGTGTGCAAAATAATGTTTTGTAGATGTATCTGATAGATCAGATGGACTATTACAAGCTCTTTGCCATTTTCTCTGGTTCTTTGTATCATGGGTTTATGTTGATCTTTTTGTTTTGCTTACGTTGTCCAGGCTGTTCTTAGAGGTGTTCTTGAGGAATTTTTGCCAGATGATGCTCATATACGATCCAGCGGAAGAGTTCGTGGTAAGCACAAATTACTTTCCCATACCAAAGAGAGACTTTGGAGTGGGGAATTTCTTGCATGCCTTTAAGTTTGAAAAAGAACTTTGTTGAGCTGCTGCACCTTAAACCATTAGTACACTTTCAGAAGATGTATTAGACTGCTTTTATCACATTTTCTGCGGACTGGTAGAAATAGTAGACTTGTTGGGAGCAAGATACTTCAAATGTTGCCATGTCTTTGTTATTTTCTTTTGGAGTGAGTTTGAGCTTTAATGATTTGATCTTTGTAACTGTGATGAACTCCATAAAAAGTTTTGTTGAGCTATTGAGATGTAATCCCTGAAGATTGGATATGAAAGAACTCATTTCTACCATTGTTATACCTCAGTTGCTGTAACACAGCTACTATGGAGGCCAAGGGGTTTACTTGTTGATCAGTTTGATTCTAAGGAAGACCTGATCAATGCCGTTATTACTTCCTCATTCATCCCAGGGTAAAAGTTCGTTGATGGTATAGTAGTAAGCAAAATGTGTAGTAGCTTTGTAGTTCTTGCTGCCTGTTTATCTTAACAGTATTTGGTGCAGATATCTTGCTCCAAGGCCTGCAACGATGTTCCGGAATCGAATATGCATTGATGGTGGGTTAACTTTGTTTATGCCACCAACATCTGCAGCTCAGACGGTATTCAGTTGATCTTTTTTGCAGAACTTTTGGCTGTCCTAGATGTTTTGAAGTACCGTTGATGTTTGAAACTAGCTCGTTTGGTGTTGTTTGACTACAGGTACGTGTATGTGCTTTCCCAGCCAGCCGATTGGGATTGCAAGGAATTGGAATTAGTCCTGACTGCAATCCAGAAAATAGGGCTAGTCCCAGGGAGGTAATTGTATTTCATCTTTTGTTAAAAAACAATACCCTATCATTTAATGCTTATGCATGCACTCAAGGCTATCATGTCACTGTGTTTCAGCTTTTCAATTGGGCACTTGAGCCTGCAGAGGATCACATTCTTGACAAGCTCTTTGAGTTGGGATACTTAGATGCAGCTGTTTGGGCTAAGCAGAATCCAGTTGAGAATATAGTTCATGATGATAGTTCATTCGCTGCTAGTGTGCCCATGCAATAGTGATAAAAAACACTGATCAAAGTAACTAGATTGGATCGTGCTACAAAATCAGGCAACTTATTGCTTCAGCAAAAGGAATTTGGAGCAGTAAATTATCACTGATTCAGGTTGCCGGTCTCTGAGGCCAGTTCATTATATTCAGGAAGAGGAAGAATGCTGGTTGAAAAATATACCAGGCATAAAACTAGATCGGTGGATAAATGCTTTCACTAGTGCATAACATGTTGTATGTAAATAGATTCTTTGGTAGAGGTCTCGAAGCACTGTGAAGAGGAAAACAACCTGATAGGTATGTAACACTTAGGAAGTTCCATTGCGGTTGTAGTTTGTGTAGTTGAGTAACAACACAAAGAGTAGTGATCAAGCTTGCTTGCTGCTCAATATAGATAGTTTTTACGTTATCAATTCTTGATTTCACATCTGATTCTGTGATAAATAGGCCATGCCTTCACATATTCTACTCAATATTCGGCTGCATTATACTCTATTTGGCTGATAATCAGATGGCAGTTCAACATCAAGACTGCATGTAACATGTATTCGAACTCTAATTTGAAGTTCTCATCCAATTGACAACTTAATCATTGAGAGATTCATCCCTAGTAAAGAATAAGATTCGGTCTCTGTAAGAATAAGCCTCTCTCACTACCTGTTGAAAGAAGACAAACTCATGCAATCAGCTCATGAAAAATTGGTGAGTATAAACCTGTAAGGAGCAGCAAAATCGCAAATAAGCTGACTGGAAAACATCTATCAGCTTTTTTTTGCTTATTATTGTTTGAAATAAAATATTGGACCAACATTAGATTGTCCATTATGTATTTTAGATGAAAATCTACACCAGACAATTATACATTTTATTATTCTGCTGCCTATCCCTACTACTGTTAAGCTCTCTTATATCAGAGAGCTGCTGCTGCTAGACAAAAAGCCTACATGGATGACCACTTCATTTCCCGGCCACCTACATCCACAGTGTAGCTTTTATTCCTAATCCAAATCTTTTTGATCAACTCTAACTGTTATGCTTCGAAAGCACCACCTTGGGAAGAAATCAGAGCCTCATATACGGTGGAATCAAGACGATCGATCTTCTTCAAGATGTTACACAACTTCTTGGCTCCATCCGCATTATTCCTCTTCTGAAAATATAACAGGAACCAGTCTATAGTTTCGTCATAAGGAAACCATTTATCTAGCTCTGTGTTAACCATCGCTGAACCCATCTCTAGATACTTCAAAGCCGTGTCTATCTGAAAGTTCCACATGTAATAATGGGTTAACACATTGACATCGTCCGGTTCATAGCCTTTTGCCAACATACCTTCGTAGAAAGCTTTTGGCTTCCCGAGGCCTGTCCCTGTTAAGGTAAGATTCTAACACCAAATTAACTATTCTCACATCATACTTGGGATGCCCAGCTTCCCACTCTTTTAAAACACTTCTCCAGGCTTTCCAGGTTTTCTCGGCCACTCAACTTGCAGAGTGCCGAAATCATTATGAAATAGTCAGTATTTTATCAGGGTTCGGAAACACTGACTTGTGAGCATTCCATACCTGTTGGACTCCTGACAAATCAAGCATTTCTTGGTACAAGCAAAGTAGGGTGTGGAAAAAATTTACGGTCACCTACATTTTCCATCTCCATCTTACGTATGAAACCTTTGTCTATGCTGTGCATTCCGGCAGTAATGTGAATCCTTGCCAGGTTTCCATAGGTGAACCAGTCGTAGTTTAGACCTTTCTGTTTCATTACTTCAAGAACTTTAAGTCACAGCAACTAAATCCTTCTGAGCACAGTAGCTTAGAACATTAAAATATTGTAAGTGACTATATCAGGATTTACTTTATTCTCCTCCATTTCTTGCACCAGCAAAGGAACTTGTTCAGGCTGGTTGGTTTCTAAGTATAAAGCAGCCACATCGTTGTACAACGAAGGAAGTGCAAATATAACCCAGCTTCTTCATCTTGTCCTAGTATTCCAGAGCCTTATTTAACATTTTGTCCTTGCAGTAGCACCTAAGAAGCACCGCATAGGTTATCACGTTTTTTGCGGATTCGTGAAGACTGTTGAAATACATTTCTGCTGCTGCCCGCGTGCCTCTGGTCTCGGCAAGTAGTTTTAACTGCTTTTGATGGGCCTCAATATTACTATCAAAGTTCACCAGCCATTCAAACAGCTACATTGGCAACACAGCAGGTATCATTTACAAACATAACGACTATGTTTTCTTGCAACTAATATGTTTATATTCTGGCAGTGAACAACTATAGCCTAAAATGCCCAAGATTTCTAAAATATTGACGAGTCGGACACTCAGATACCCGCACCCGATACGACACCCGTATCCAAGTCCAGGTAACATAGGTGAACAAAGGTTCATCTCCATAAGGGAATAAATAACAAAGAAAGCATAACAACAAAACCACACGAGACACCACATCCAGTATCGATGGTGATAGTGAACAATTTTCTCGAGAAACAACAGGTGTGGGATTGGAAAAAAAAATAGAGTTGCAAAGCCAGAGATGACAGCAGTGCTAGCGAATAGTGTAACCTGCTTCAGTTATTGCCAAATGACACAATTTTAGAACACAGAGATCTTCCGGCTACTATCAGAATCCAGTTCACCAAGGATTCTTAGGCAGCCAACAAGATGCTACTACTCAGTCCTTTTAGGAAATTATGATTGGTAAGAAAGTTTTGGATTTCACTTTCTGAACATAGTCACATTCCCAATCAAGAATAATAAAGACACAATTTTTATGAGTAAACATGATTTACTCATAACCAAAACGAGTAGTACAACCAAAACACAAACATTGAACTAACAAAACCACCAGTTTTAAGTGAAAATTTAAAACTGACTAGTATTGTTAAAGAAAATTACCTGGTGGGCAACAATGAAGTTCTTTTGCATAAGGAAGTAATGCATTTGGAAGTCAAAATGGGCCCTCTGAACTGTATTTCCCTGCTTGACCCATTCATCAATTTTCTCTTTCATGTTAATCGCGTTCGCTTTTCAGCTCCGACGGTGGGTCGTTTTTCAGCTCCGACAGTAATTGGCATTTATCATTGGTGCACTTGGCCGCAGCAGCATCCGCCGCAATCTCGGAGTCTGGTATGCGTTTCAGCTTCGACGGGTATTCGCTGTGTATATCAATGGTGCACCTGGCATCAGCCGCCGCAGCCGCCGCAGCCGCCGCCGCAGAGCACCAACGGGTTGATCGGAACCTAACTAAACGGGCCACCCATTCTGTGGGTTCCCCGTTCTCAATTCTCAGTAATTAATCACTCACAGGGGCGCCAGGGTTTTGTGACTTGCAGGAGAATCTCATTGCTGCTAATTTATACTCATCCTAAAGTTACTTGGAACTGCTGTTTTGGTCCTTAAAAGCTTCACAGTACTAATTTATGATACATTGATGTAGTTTATTTTAGTTTGACACTACTATTATTATACCTCAGTTGTGGTAACACAGCAAGGGCCAAGAGAGCTGACCAGTTTGATTCTGTAGTTCTTGGATCCTGTTTATCTAGCAACTACCTTTGCTCCTCCGAGGCTCGCAACAATGTAACCAGAATCGAATACGCTTTGATGGTGGGTTAACTTTGTTTATGCTACCACTTCTACAGCTCAGGCGATTGATACTTTCCATATTTTTATGCGTAGATGAATACTGGATCAAAACCTCATTTGATAGAATGGGTTTGTGTAATATACACATGGCAAATGCCCTATTTTGTACCAAGTCCTGTGCTATGTATATGTTTTAAAATCAAGACTGCTTTTTTACATGTATTCCAACTTTAAAATACTCATCCAATTAAATCATTGAAGTACAAAATCAGATTCAGACTTGTATGATCTCCATTCACAGGCGGACATTAGCTCAGGTAGGTACTCTATATGAGGGATCAACCATTTTCAAGATGAACAAGTTTCCCTTGTCACCTCTTGATACCCTGCCAGAAGAACCAAAAAAAGTGAAAAAAAAAAAAAAGCGAGATAACTCATTCCAAGTACGAAATAGAAGGTAACCATTTCATGTTTTGCTCATATAATTTACTTTCAGCAGTCTCACTCGAACCCTCCATGTGAATTAATGTTCAGTTAGGCTTTATCTTAGTTTCGGTTTCTATGGTAATACAGCTTAATTTTTATGGCCAAGCGGATACTGAGAGATGATACAAAAAAGAAGGGTGAATTCAGCGGTTTTGTTCATAAATTTATGAGCTCACCTGAGTTCTTCATCCAAGTATGTAATCTCAAGCTCACCCCTAGCTGTGTCAGGTGCTTTGATTGGTATCTGCAAGCCAAAATGTATGAACCATGCTTGTTATTCATGCATTAATTTCTTCAAAACCGATCAACGCCGGACACGATTCCTTAAGTTCAGTTTGTTGATACTAACATTATCAGTTCTGAGGAGGAGTAGCTTTTGCTATCAAAACAAATATGAATGAGAAACTAAAAGTCTAAAACCATCTCCAGTAAGGTAATCCATGTTTCACCATATTATCTCCACTAGATACCCTAAGCGACATTTTGATTTACAAACCAAGTCCTGAATAAGCAGTGATGTTAAACAGAGGCCATACGAGAGAAAACGAAAGCCTATAATTGCTGAGCATAACTAACTGCGATTTTGAAAATGAGAGAGGCTTGCTCACCAGTCCACCAATCTTGAAATAATCAAATTTTACAGCCACCTTTTTTGCATTAAGTGGTGCCAAATCTGCAGTAACCTGCAGCATTAAAAATAAATTCATTGTGTGGCTAGAAGCCTGCAGAACTTTTCAGGGATGAACTCATGAGGGAAAATCAAAGCATGAACATGATGCACCGAGTTTCGAATTACCTGATTAAAGAATGGGGCTGATTCCATGTTTTGTGCCCGAAGGGTATCCGTATTGATCCCTTGATAGTTTGTTTTAGACCTTAAGAATTTGGGTCTCTGCACAGAGACCACATCATTCAATTATCAGCAACAAAAATCTTCTCAACTAATGAAACAAAAAAGCTTGGAACTTTCAATAACAGGCAAAAAAACTTCAACTTTGAATGGCCAAAAGTTCAGAACAATAAATAGTACAGAGGTACCTTGGTTTGCAAAATGGATTCAGAAGTAGTGTATATGAGCTCCCATTTGCCATCTAGCAACTCAGATTTCAATGGCTCCTTGGTTGGATTCACAGCTTCCAGTTTCCGGGCAATCTAATTCAGAACAAAACCCGAACACAAATTATAAACACAGAAGAGAAAAACAAACAAAATAGAATGAATCCAAATGACAGCCACAGAATTTATCTCATAATAAGGATTACATACTCGATCAACCCGTTCCTGGTCTTCAGGGGTGGCTTCAGCTCCTCGATCAAGCGGGGCAATGGCCTCAAGGAGCTCTTCTTTGATGGGTGTAGCATCTTTTTTCTTGCCCAAGAAAGCTGGAAAGAAGGAAACATTGGTTCTCCATTTGTGGGATGGCAATGAAGAAGAAGAGGAAGCTAATGAAGTTGAAAAGGTGCCATTCTGGTGAGGATTCTGTTGAATCTTTGGACATGAAACGGTGTTGAATGGAGAATTCTTCTCCTGGGCAGGAATGAAGAGCTTGGTGGGAGTTGTTGTTTGGCTTGGGGAGATGGAGGATAAGGCCATGGTGCAGCTGGCCATGGAAATTGCTGACTTGGATATTTGAGTTTATTTAAGAAGGCGCAGAAGAAGCACAAGCAGAAGCAGATTATGGCGGTGGAGGAACTCCAAGGCCCAACCTCATTGATGGGCTCTAAAGTCGAGTTGGACATTTTTCTAACCCAACAGAAGTTGGGCTTTTAACCTTTTTTTCGTTGAGGTCCTTCTCATATACTGCTACCATATCTCACATTTTATTTTATTTTTTTAAATATTGTAAATACTGTTTAGTTGACTGAATGTTTTAGTGAAATATTCAACTCATTTATCCCATTTCCGTTCTTATGGGAATCATTTTATATCACACAGCTTTACAATTTGTTTCTATAAAAAACTTATATTAAATAAAGGAACATGACACAATACCAAATAAAATGGTCAAGTTATTACGCAGAGACCTAGCACAGAAGCATATGCAAACGGTGCTTAGCACCAGCGTTCAATGAAAAAAATGCTCATAAATTTTATAATTTTAGACTAGGGCTTAAGATTATGTTTAATTTGTAGGTTTTTATACACATATAACATAGAAAAAGGACGGTAAGTGATGGAATAAGTTTTGGGCCTTGTTGATTAGACTCCATTCTTAATAAAACAAACTATATTATTAAGTTATCAACACAAATTGTTAGGGTGCTTTATATATATATAAAACAAATTGTACTAGGGCCCCAAAAATTATGGACTGGCACTGGTTAAGTAACATGTGATTTATTATTATTACCACGATATCAACCATTGATATTCGAAAGTAACGCGATCTAAAAATAAAATAAGAAATGTTGAGGGATCACAGATCACTAGATAAAACAGTTGCCATCATCCCACCCAGATTAGTTTGAATATTATTACATTAGGGAAACAGGGAAAGTATTTTTTGCACAACAATATTATGATGTTGGAGCTAAATTTTAATCCAGGGAAAGGGGGTTTTTGCCCCAACGGAAATCAGATTTAGAAGCCCTTCAGAAGGTGGTAAACAAGCACTAACTCGTGTATCCAAATCCAAATAAAATAAAAAGATATTGTGGAAAAAAACTAGGATAAAATGGACATTTCGTCATTTGGTCAACAACAACCAACTAAATATTGAGAAAAAAGAAATAAAAAAAAAAAATCTGGAAATAAACCGAAAGTGGACAATATCGTATCAATAGTATCCGCCAAATGCAAATTATCTCTAATTTCTTCACTAACAATGGCAGATTTCCATTAATGGACAGTGAAGTCACAATCTCCTCTCTCGCTTTCTCTTGCCAACTTCTAGAATTCCCGGCTTGTATTTTTCTTGCGAAGAACAACCCCACAAAGCCCAAAAATTCTTCATCATCATCCAAAACCTGAAAACCTTGATTCCTTAAGTGCAATTGCTTCCGGAATTATCCTTTTTTCCTTGCGCTTAAATTCTGGGAAACTCCAGGTGGGATTATGATAGAATTGAATGTTTTTGATTGTTGAATTCAACACAAAAGATGAGTTCCGGATATTCAGTAAAGGTTCAGCTTAGAGTTGGCACCCTGCCATCGCCTTCGCTTGCTTTGCTCCCTTCTAATCAGCACCACCGTCAGCTTTACAGCAGGATTATTTGTTGCGACCAGAAATCCTCTCCTCCTGATCAGAAGTTTAATCTCAAGAAACTGCGACGATCTCTTCTCCAGAATAAGTGGAAGTTGAATGAAATCGATACCGGTGAGCCAATTCCATCTTTCAGTTTGTCTCTTATTTGCTCAAATACCATCCATCTTTATCAATTTGTTGCTTTTTATCTAGTCTTGATTTTGGCGGAATGCCTGTTAGGTTCTTTTCCCTAAGATATTTGCAAAGTTGATTGGGGGATTATGTAGGATGTATTTTTTCAATCCAATATTATCTTCTCCAATACTATGGCTGTTTATGTGCTCTTCGGTTGATCAAGTAACAAGGTTTGAGGGTTTTTTTTTTTTTTTTTATAGTTTTCTAGTCATTATTATATATTATTATGTTTTGGTGGGGTGTAAATTTTTATGATCCGTAGTTTTTTTTTTTTTTTTTTTTTCCTTTTGTAAAAATGTTGGCCTTTATCATGTACTTTTCCCCCTTCATTATGTGCTAAGCCCGTATAAGGTTTAATTGTAAGTGTGTTGCATAAGGTTGCGCTGATGTTCTACATTTCTGCTCTAAACCTATATTTGTTATAGGTGCAATGCAAGACTCTGTTAACCATTGGCTGTCGCGGACCCAGAACTTTTTGCATGAAGTTGCTTCTCCATTGGTAAAAACTGTTAATGAAAGGAGGCCTGTAGTTCAGGATAATGATGAAGATATGGAAGAGATTATCTTGGCAGAACAGACTATCAACAGTAGAACGCCTAACGGAGACCTTTCTGTGGCCGCAATTGTTTCCATCGAGCAATTTAGCAGGTACCAAAATTTATCCGTTGTAGTTGTATTTTATCTGGCTTGAAGATTGGTTCCTTTGTTATTTGTGTTTGCCGGCACAGTGCTATTGGCATCCATGAATGAAATAAAATTTGACATGTCCAGGATGAATGGCGTGACTGGGAGAAAAATGCAGAAGATATTTAAAGCCGTTGTACCTGACTCAGTTTACAAAGATGCTCGTAATTTAGTGGAGTATTGTTGCTTCAGGTTCTTGTCAAGGGATACTTCCGAGATTCATCCTTCTCTGAAGGTTTCTCTAATATTTCTCTCCTCATAGATCTAAGGGGTCTTTTTATTAGTGTAGCTCACATTATCTGGAAAGTTAGAATTGGATAAGTCATGTTCTGTTTTCTACCTGCTGCTTTCATTATTAGGCTGCATGGCTGGTCTGTCCTTTTCTTATTTCATGAATGGTGTCTAAAATTTTGACTTGATCTCTGTTTTTGCTCTCATCATAGGATCCTGCATTTCGAAGACTTATGTTTGTCACCATGCTTGCATGGGAGCGCCCATACTGCAATGGAGAGGATTCCCAAGCTATGGCTGCCGAGAGATACTCTCTTAAGGTGACTCCTACGTTGGCTTTATGCGCATACCATTGTATATCCCTTTATAACTTCCTGGTTTGATTCAATGCTGTAATTTTGGTAGCATAGGAAGAACAGCACTAGAGCTTTTGTGGTAATGATCTAATGGTCTATGGACCACCCTCGATAACATTTGCTATTCTGCTCTTTCTCCTCTTTTCTTTTGGGGGGGATGTCCTGTTTCTTCCCAGAATCTCAAAAATACATTTCCTTTATGGCGTTAAGAAAATTAGCACCAAATTACTTCTGAATGTAGTCCACTGAATGAAATCTGAAGGATATTGTTTCTTAATCATTGCAAAAATTTAAAGTCATCCAGTTCAATTATTTTAGGGCACAGATTGAATACAAATAAATTTTTTATTTTACCCAAACCTATCATCAGTAGCAAATTATCATGTGTCTACTGTGATAGTGGATATGCAATTTCTCATCAAGAGATTTTAAATTCTTATGGGAAACAAGTCAAGTTAGCTGACTGCTGTAATAACACAGAGACTGTTTTTAATTCTTTCTCCACATACATGCACAATTGTACATATAGTTGATTGATGAATTATAAAGCTCACCTCAGAAGCATAGATTTCGAACATCTGGTCGGATAACTAGCTATGCCTTTAATGCAACAAGATTCAACGGCTTAAGTTTCATCATCACTAAATCTCTCTGGATGTTGTATATTTCATGGAAAAGTATTTCTGACCAACTCTGTATACAGTTTCTGATAGTTTCATCTTAGTACTTGCCATTAATATTTGTTTTTTCCTTCTCTAATGAATGGATTTAGAGGAGGCTTGTAGGAGAAGCGGCCTTTGTTCGCATAGCTCCTGCTGTTTCTGGTGTGGCTGACTGGTCCACAGCACATAATCTATTTAAAGCTCTTTCTCGTGATGAAGAGGGCATTTCATATGGCCTGTGGTCGACATACATTAACGAACTCCTAAAGTGAGCATTGTTTATTGGTTGTCATTATTAATATTGTTGCATGAATTGGCATATATCAGTGGAAAGCTATGAGATGACTGGGTAGTTTAAATGTATTGGTGAACCTTTAAAAGATTTTCGTAACTTATTCTTATTTATGTGTTATAGAATTCATGAAGATCGGAAATCATATCAGTTCCAAGATTTCTCGCAGCCTTTTAGAGAGAAAGTTTTGTGTCTCAGTTCGAGCAGAAAGCCACCGGTGCTTAAATGGGAGAACAACATAGTGTGGCCTGGAAAACTTACTTTGACTGACGAGGCACTCTACTTTGAGGTATTCTGTAACTAGTTGAGTGAGATGGAGCATAAGGACATATATTATGCACTATCCATTTGCTACAGTTTCGGGAAAATTTTAATTTATTCTGCAATGTAATATACACTGTAAAAACCTTTGTATATAAACTTGAAATGTAATGTTAGAAAAGTACATACATCATGGCAAACATAATCTTTCTGTTAGTGCTTATTCTGTTTTATTTTTGTTTCTTTTCCTTTTACCTTCTAGGGAATTCGCTTAAAGGGTCAAAAAGATGTCATGAGATTGGATCTTACAAAAGAAGGTGTAGAAGTTGTGAAAACAAGAGTTGGGCCACTGGGATCTGATCTTTTTGACTCTGCTATCTCTGTTAGCTACAGTCCTGAGTGAGTAAGCCTCTTCCACCTCTTGACATTAGTGAAAAGTTATACATGCTGTTCCTGCATCACATTTGAGACAACCAAATTGTTCGAGTCTTCTGCTTCGAAATCCTATTTTTGTTCTTACCATCCCTTTTTGAGAATTCAGTTTAGTTGGAGGATGATGATTCTCTGTTGACATCCAATCAGGTCTGAACCATGGGTGCTAGAATTTGTGGATTTGGGTGGTGAAATGAGACGGGATGTGTGGCATGCATTTACTAGTGAAGTTGTTGCTTTGCACAAATTTGTACAAGAATTCGGACCTGAGGATGGTGATAAATCCCTGTACAATATCCATGGTGCCGTGAA